AATAAATAACATCTGCATAATGTCAAGAAGATACGAGAAATTGATTCTTCAGAATAATCTTTTTATGGTGGCAATAAAGTGATAAATATTATAGATATATATGTGCTATGACAATGATTTTCTTCCAGATGATTGTTGCCTACTACCTAATCAAATAATGATACCACAATTACATCAGGGTAATAGCATAACGGCTATAGCGACGCCTGTACTTTTTTATCAAAGTTTTCCCCTGCAGGTAAAGACAAGTGAATATTTTTTCATCAATTTATTAAATTTTTTGATTATTTTTAATTTTATTTGCAGTTAGAATATGGCATGGAACCTGAACAATTATTATTTGTACCTGAACTTAATCCAGTTGAAGGTTGCATGCATAGTGGTCAAGTTGTGGATGGTATAAGGCATTTGTATCTTGGAAAGCAACCGCTTCTCGTTAAACAATGTACAAGGTATTACATGTGATAAGTATATTAAAATTTGTTGGAGATTCCTTTTCCACAGTCTTATAAAAATGAACAATGGAATAATTTTTGTTATAAATTAAAATTTTAGATGTGTTGGTAAAGCTCAAGTTCAAAATATGACGAGGACAGCTGCAATTAGAGCATGGGATCAAAGGTGGGCACGAGCTTGCCGTTGTGGTGGCATTTGGCGAATTCATAAAACTTCTTTCTAAATAAGGAATTGACTGAAAATTTATATTGATAAAATTAATATGAATAAAGTTTATATTATAACAGTGCTTACAATTTTGTACATGATAAAACAGATACATAATAACATTTTTATGTAATACATAATTTATTTTATTTATATTTCTTGTAAATAATTCTTGATGAGGATAATCAAATAAAATACTTATTAATTTTCATCATTTATTTATTCTGAGCACAACAATTTTTATTTTTTGTAACTTGCACTAATCATTGACGGATTGAGCAAGAGCACACATAAAAATTATTTAAATATTTTTTAAATAAACAATTGAGAAACATGTATCACGACTATATACTGCGATTTTACAGAATCTGATATTATTGTTAATAATTTGTCAATAAACAAATAATTTTCAATTTACATGTATGTGTTATTCCTCGGTAAAGTTTCAAATTTTATTATAAGTTCCATAATATATTATGGAGATTCCAGTTATATAATATCTAATCATGTAAACAAAGAAAAAAATTAAAAAATCTTTTTCTGCATAATTCTTAGAAAATACAATGGCCATGGAAAGTTTATTTGACACAACATAGTTTTTTATATTTCATTACATGTAAATTGATTGTTAATGACTTTCCCCTTTTTTTCCATTCACTCTTTTGAATTCTCCCATGTTTGTTGTTGAAATTGGTAAGCCAAATATAGCTAAATGGTCGATCCTTGTTGTTTCACTATCATTCTGATTGTCTTTTACAAATATTTGTATATTCTGTACATTTTGAAACTTTACATAACGCAAGGAAATTGGATTTCCTTCTTCAATATCCTTTGCTGATAATCTGCATAAAAAAATTTAATTAGAACAAATTTGATAGAATGTTACTTAATATAAACTTAATATAAAATCAATAGTCATTATTACGTTAAATCTTGAATGCTTGTATTAGAATCGGCCATGTCAAAATCAATGGTTCTTGGTTGATTAATAAACAGTTTGATATTTTTTGGTCCTTTATCTTTGGGAGCTTTAATCTTCAAAGAGTGCACTTTAACTGCTTGTGAAAATGCAATAGATAAAATTAGTTGTTCATCACATTCACTTTCTAAATATCCATCATCAGAACTTAAGCATTGTAAAAAGTTGTGATCATCAGATTCATTTAAACATTCACATTGTGCCTTTGTAATGAAACTAGATAGATCCATCTGTAAAAAGTATATTTGAGAATTTCTAGAGTATTTTTGTGGTGTATCTATCTCTAATACTTTTATATATGATAAAGTTGGGTACAAACATCCAGGGAAATATGTATACATATAGCGTAATAATGTATACATATACATATATACTTTTTTTGTTTTTATTAAGAGTAAAAAAATCTAAATGCAATAATACAATAAATTTGATTTTGTAATGTATTTAGAAATTATAATATATTTAAAATATTATAAAATTATAAGTACATGCAGTTGATGATATAATATGATTTATATTTCAATTAATGGTTTTTTTAAATTAATGAATATGTTATAATAGTGTTAATATCCACTGAAAGAAGGTTACCACAACTTTTTTTATTAGTACTTATTCCAGAAGTACAGAACTGCAGCAAGAAATATCATTCCAAAAATATGGTAATAAACATTATCACTATTTCGTACATGTCCAGATACTGGACTCTCAGAATCCTCTGAATCTCCACTGCCATAAAATTGCTGTATTTTTGACTCCAATCCATCTGGATTAGCTCCTTGACACAAGCCCAGTTTTGTTTGATTGCGATAAAATATAAATGTAGGCATTGCACTAACTCCTTGCATTGCAGCAATCTCTGCACATTTGTCTACATCAACTTTAAGAAATACTGCATTTCGATATTTCATTGATAGTTGTTCAAATATTGGTGCAATTCTTTGGCAAGGACCACACCTGTAAAATTACAAGATAATTTTTTAATAGAATTATAAGACTAATCACGTATATCTGTTATATTTATAGAAATATATAAGATTAAGCATGGTTGATTGTATATATTATATATATTTTAAAATTCAATAAACTGTATATTTAAGATTTTTTTTTTAAGGAACGAATTTATTATTACTTAGTGTCATGTTAATGACAGCAGCATACAAAAATATTAAACATAATTTTGTTGGTAATGTTATAAAATAATTGCAAATATGTGAGTATGGAAAAAAGGAGAAAGTAAATGAAATTTCACAAATCAATAAAATTAGGGTTTTCAAATCTTAGTAACCTTTCATTTAATATAACCCTACGAAGCTCACCATGTTGCTGTGAAATCGACTACGACCAATTTTGTACCCGCACTAGACATTTCCTCATAAAATTGGCCATCATCATTGATTACGCGTACACCACCCATTGTATTTTTAAAGTAATCTAATCCAACATAAATGAAAAAAAAACGTATCAACGTCTATTGAAATATTGAATGACTGGCACTTTGAGTATACGAAATAGAGTTTTAGAATACATTCAATTTTATGGCTAATTCACGTTAAAACATTTCAGGTTTACGATTGGAGATTCAAATGAAGGTAGTATGCATATGAAGAATCCGGATAAATTGGAAACGTAGTTGGAGTATGTATGAAAATGCGGCTATAGGTTAGCGCGCCAACTATGGTGAACTTCCAGCAAGCACGCAGAGGCAGTGTGCAATTTTCTCGTCATATTTGTTGAAATTTGGAAGAATTTGGTAAGCGAGAACAATATTTTATATAGAAAAAAGGCCTTTAACGATTAGTGATTATTTTCAATACAAATTATAGGATTTAGACGAGTTAAGCATGTTATACTAGTTAAATATATTTCAAATGGAAGCCATGTTGAAAATTCAAACATAGTTGGGAACTTCCAACAAGTGGGAAAAGACAGTGTGCAACTTTTTCGTCATATTTGTTGAAATTTGTAAGAATTTAGCATGCGAAAACAATATTTTATACAGAAGAATGTCTTTAACGATTACTGATTATTTTCAATATAATTTATAGGATTTAGATAAGTTAAGTATGTTAGACTGGTTAAATATTCAAATGGAAATTTCAAATGGAAGCCATGTTGAAAATTCAAACGCAGTTGAAAACTTCCGACAAGTGGGAAAAAGGCAGTGTGAATTTATGAAAATTTGCAAGAATTTGGTAAGTCAACAATATCTCATATTGAAAAATCGTCTATAATAATGATTATATTTGTTTTTCTAATATAATTTATTAGAAAAGCATTGCATATTTGTTGATTGTATTGCTACTTTGATGAAACAATTTTGAAAGTTCAAACGTAGTATCTTGCAGTTTTAATTTGCAAATACGATTGTTGATAATCTGAATATGTTTTACTCTTATTTATAAAATGCTGTGTGCATAAACTTCATTTAGAAACATTCTTACATATAACATATCAATAAAGTGAAATTTTGCATTATTAATATTTTATTTACGGTAGTAGATTTTAGTAGTTTACAAGTAAATGTTATTTTCCACATAATGATGAAATATATGTCTATCTTCTCCGAATTTTGTTCCTAAATAAATTTTACATTGAGGACAATAATGTGCTGTATTTTTATATACGTTCGTATAGTATGGTATCATGCACATGCTGTAAAAATGAAATTTACTTCTTTTTTTAAGCATTATATATATATATATATATATATATATATATATATATATATATATATA